AGCTCTCTGCCTTCGAAACCCAGAGCCACACAACTGGAAGACAAAATAAAGCCTAAAATTGGGGTGTCCCTAATTAAGCCAGCAGCCAGGAGCAACCATGCAGAAGGAAATGTCTGGAGTGACGGGGGGAAGGCTCGAAGGAGGTACAAGCATACCCACGTAGGGAACCCCCTGCCTCAGCCACCAGGCGGGTGTCTCAAGCCGTTGGTGATATGAAGTCAGGTTGGGAACCAGGGTGACTGGACACAGATTTAACTTTCCAGGGCTGTGAAGACCGTCTACAGAAGGCATGTGAGTGTGTGTGCAGGAACACATGTGGGCATGGGTGTCCGCGTGTGAATGAGTGAGAGGTTGTGTGTTTGAGGGGGGATAAAGTGTGTGCGTGAGAGTGTGTGTGAGAGCATGGGTCTACGAGGCTGTGTGTGTGAGTGTAAACGTGTGTGAGTGTTGGGGGCAGGGAAGGGAGCTGGTGTGGAGAGGAAAGTTGGGCGCAGACTAGCACAGGCAAAGGGGACAAAAAGAGGAAAGTCTTGTCTTTGAGCCGGGCCTGGAGAGCTGAAGAAAAAAGGAGCTCTTATTGGTGGTTGTCAAGGAGATGGGCCTTGGGGTTTACTGAACTTTCTTTCCTTAAAGCGTCCTGCCTCTGGCTGAGAGGGGCCATTTATTCCCTGCAGCGCCTCCCGGATGGGGGTCTCCTGTCCAGGCCCAGGGGCTGACAGGCGTCAAGTGTAGACCCCAGGCCAGTCCAGAGCAGTTCTTGGGTCAAAAGACCGCTGCTCCTGCTGCCCCCAGCCCCCAGCCGCCCGCCCCCGCCCAGGGCTGTCACTGGGGGGCCCCAGGTCCCCAATTCTCCAGGCACAGAGCTTTGCTGGCTGAGGTCAGCACGCAGACGGGGCGCCGCTGACCGCGGGGGTATCTCCACCACGGAGCTCTGCCGGAGCCTCTCGGAGGCGGGCCCTGCGGCTGCCCTACAACAGGCACACGTGTGGGCCCTTGTCCTTGCAAGAGCGGTGAAAAGTTCATTTGTCTGAACGTAAATCGCAAAGCAGTCTTCGAGATTTTCCCTGCCTGGCCTGCTCGAAGTGGGGACCCCCGGGGGAGAGGGGAGCGCGGGCGTAAGGGGGCCCCGCGGGGAGCCGGGCGGAGGTGGGCGAGGGGTAAACGGCGGACGTGGAGGGAGGGGGGTGGGGGTGGGGGACAGACGGACAGAAAAAGAGGCTCGGAGGTAATACACAAAAGGACACAGGAAGAAACCCAGAGGGACAGATGCGGGGAGTGGACACCAGAAGACCGGAGGGCAGAGAAGCCCGGGGAAGAAGGAGGAGGCAGACGCGCAGGAGGAAGGCAACGGATCAGAAAAGGGAGCCCGAAGGCGCGGGCGAAGGCAGGGAAGGGCCCTGGAGGAGGAGAGCGGAGACCGCTGGACTCACGGACGAGAGGGCCGGGGGGAGGGGGCCGGACAGACCAGGGCAGAGAGAGGAGGACAGGGGTGGCTGGAAAGCGATGGACAGATGGTCAGACAGGAGGGAAGGACAGGCCCACAGACCCAGAGAGACAGGAGACCAGGTATGGGATATTAGCGACATCAGCCAGGAGGTCCCAGTGGGGGAGGCTGCCTGTGGGCGGGGGAACTGTGTTGGGCCGTCAGGGGAGAAGGGACCCCGGCACTCCGCCTGCCACCCAGCTCTCCTGGTTGTGTGCAAGGGGCTCGCCCCCAAAGCCAAGTCAGCCTCTCCTCCCATGGCCGCGGAGGAGCCGCCTCCCCTTCTCTGCTTGGTGGGGAGAGGGTCCTGCAGCCCCTGCTCCCTCTCCTGGCTGTCTCTGGGCACCCCGTGGCTGGGCGCCCTGAGGTCTGGGAGTCCCACCCAGAGTGAGGGTACCGGGTCGTGTGAACTGTAACACAGTCGGCCGAGCTGTCCTCCGGGAAGTTGGCCCCCACTGCCTACACCCCTCACGTGCCCGTGGAGTCACCCCTGGGCTCTGAGGTCCTTCGCCCGTGTTTGTTCCTGTGCCTGTCTCCGTGGAAGAGAACCCCTACCCCATGGAAGCCTTGTGCTGTGAAATAGACCAAAGTCAAAGCAAGCAGCCCGTGATGGGAGGGCCGGGCTGCCCATTGGGGCGTGTGCCCAGCCCAGGCCAGGGAGCACTCCCTGCAGGGCCCATGGAAGCCATGGCTCGCGGCTCCTCTCCCACGTGTTCAGAAGGTGTGTTGGAAGGGGCCCCCACTGCCTCCAGGCTGACATTTGTCCATTTCCTTCCCAGGAGAACACCTATTAGGGAAGAGGTTGGAGGAAGGGGGACCATGATAGAATCTGCAAACATTGACACCATGGAGATTATTCAGTTCACAATGCAGTTCAGAGTCAGCCTTAAATGATCCAAGGCTTGAACCCAGGGTTCTTGACTCTTTCCCTTTATAATGCTATTTGTAACTTGATTAAGACTCTTATTGTTAAACATGTTTTAAAAAGCCAAGTGAAATGGATCTTAACTTTTCAAT